GGTCATTGTTCCAACCATATCAATTCAGACAATGCTGAGGAACCATTTTCCCACGTGCCGAACCGTTAATATTCTCGCACACTGCAGTGGAAGGACCACCTTTGACTCCGTTATGCTTTAGGTTAATGTCAATTAGCTCAACATTCTTGCACGGAAAGCTTTTGCTACATTGCAAATTCATTGCAACTTTCTCCGTCGACGTTCCATATATGTTCTTTAACTTAAGGTCTTGAATTTGAACGTGAGATTCTCCCTGAAAAGAATAATAAAAAGAAAACATTTTTGTTTTGTCAGTATCTATCTTGTGATGAAAGAAATAAAAGAAACATGTTTCATGCGTAGAAAACTAACATTCTTTTCACAAGGCGGGTGAGGGCAATATTTTTGATCGATGTTGATCGGTTTTCCAACGTTAATCATTTGAATATTCTCGTAAACAAAGTTAGAAACAACGATCTTCGAAGCTGAAGATTCCCAAGTCTTGATCCGAATACCATCACTTGTGCCATTAAAAATCGTGTCTCGTACCGTTAAACCCTTAACATCTTTCTCGTCTTTGTTCTTTCCTAAGCTTCCGACACTGATTCCATGTCCAGGACCACAATTCACGTTAGAGATATCAAGGTTAGAGGATCCCGAGAGAATAGCGATACAATCGTCTCCAGTACCGATTTGTGTATTGGAGATGTGAATGTTGCTACATAAACCCATCTTGATACCATCGGTGTTGGGGCTATCGCCGGGAGCTGTTATAGTGACATCGGTAATGTTGAAGTGATGGACGGAGAAGAAGTTGAAATGTCCCATTTTGCTGTTGAGTGATGTTATCCCATTGATTCTTGAGTTGTTCACGAATGCAAATCCCATAGTCTATAAAAATATTTCAAGTTTATTAGAAAATTAGACGGATATCATAATATACGTTTTATTGTGAGTTTTATATGTAATAGCAAAAATATTTTAGAAAAAGAAATATAAAAGGTTTAAGAAATGGTACCATAGCTAGTTTAGGACAATTGGTGTTTTTGTGGCAGTCATTAAGTGGCCAAGACTGCTTTCCTTGGCCATCGAGTGTACCAGAACCAGAGATAAAGAGATAGTTGATGTACCTAAAGTTGATCCATGTGTCTTGCTTAATGTCTTTAGGGTTTGATGGAGCCATTAAAGTTCCATCGATGACGAACTCAATTTGATTTTTGCATGGACCAACGAACTCTACACCACCGAGATAGAATGTTCCTTTCGGTACGTAGATTTTACTATTTCCACTTTTTCTTGCGCATGCACTTTTCCATACATTTGTGAAAGCCTAATATTGTATGCGTTAAAAACAATGTAATTAATTACAAGACAACAATTTCTTATGAATAGTTTGAAAAAAAAGTATTCTATTTGTTTATAAGTTATTTTGGTTTAGGCATTAAAAAAAGAGGTGTTTTACATCATTTAAAAAGTATCAAAAACCTAAATGATATAATATTAAATCATTTATTAAGTAAATGATACAAAATATGTGACTTAACATCAATTGTAGTAATTGATATTATTTTTGACGTGTTTAACATCGGTTTAATAATATTGATGCAAATCCATATTAATTTGTATCACTTAAAAAAATTGACATATAAATATTGATTTACATTCTTTATTTAACCAACGTAATTACCAAATTTGGTTAGCATCATTTAAAAAAATGATTGTAAAATTTATGTCACTAAAAAATTGATGTTAACACATTTTTAATAAATCATTTGCTTACTTTTGTAAGTCCCACATCGATAATTAAAGGTGAGGATAAGAAGATTTTAGTCTTATAAATAACTAAACTCCCTCAATTATATTGTCAAAGTTCAACATTGATTTTGATTTTTGATAGCTTATTTAAAGGTAAATAAATATTTCCTTAAGTAAAAATTTTATTTCCGATTAGTTTTAAATTATAATCCAATTATAACATTTTCGAAATTGATTTTATTTAATTGATAAAAAATATTTGGCATCAATTATTAAATCGATGTAAATATTAGCATCAATTTTTTAAATTGATGCAAATTAGTATCGATTAATATAAATGATGAAAATATTTGTATCGGTCTTTTTAAATGACGTTAATATTTGCATCATCATTTTTAGAGTCGCTTATATAAATGATACAAAATATATTTGCATCATTTATAATTGATTTAAACAAACAAAATAAATGATGCTACACACATTTTTTTTTGTAGTGAGGATATGACAAGATACATCTGAGTTTTCATGATCAAATCCAAATGGTAGTAATAAAATAATAAATGACTTTGTAAAAATTCTATTAGCTATATTCTTAATTTTCTTTAAATATAGAATTATAACAGATAATTTAAATTTCATACCAAACTCAAATTTAAATTTAGAAAAACATGTTTATTTAAAAGAACATATCAATTTAGTTGGTTCTTTAATTTTTGGTTTAATACATATATTGTTATGTGGAATAATAACTAGCTATATATTTTTCCTCTCAAAATGTTAAGTTAAATTTATGAGACTTTCAATATTGAGTTGATTTTTAAATTGATGGAAACTAAACAGTAATAAACACAATTGAAAGTTAAAAATTTAGAGGAGAAATTTATCATCTACATACATTTGCGTTATCAGTTTTTCCATCAGATTTAGCACCATAACGTCGAACGTTGAAAACCTTTGACCTGACTGTTGGATGACTTGCAGCGGCAACGAACAACAAAGACAAACATAAAGCCTTGAACGCAGAAGCAATAGCCATATTCTTCTTTTGTTTGTAGGGTATAGGGATGTAATCGAAATGTGTTATTTATAAATATGTTTTCTAGGACACAATGAGAAGTGTTACCCTATTTTATCTGCTTATATAGAGTTAATAATGTCTGGAATAGCTGTTAATTAGTTGATATTTATCTTAAAAACTTGATTTTTGCTACTAATTGTCGGCTAAAATTGGGTTATCTATTTCGTAATGATATTGATATTGGTTAATTTCTTGTTTAAAATATTTTCGAATGTATATGATCTGTTTCGGTTCCTCTTTCTAAAATAAAATCTTAATTTTAGTGAAATGCCAAATTAATTTACCAATAAATTTGTTTTGGTTAATGCTTTATTTGGAAACAGTTCCAATCAATATGCTACCTAAACAACGTTACATCTTAATCATTTATACATGTAATATTATGTCATTGTAAACAGAATGAACTAAAACATTTTTGAACAATGGTACCTGTTAGGGCTGGATTCGTCACCGAATCCGGCTCACTAAAAGCCCAAATCAAAACGGTTCGCTAAAGGCAAAATAATGGGCATGCGGCCTAACCTCAGAAAAAAAGACAGAATTCAGATAAAAATCCGAGTCAGCTCTGCGAGTGTTGAGTCAACAGAAGTGGGGCTAATGAGGTAGGAACGAGTCAACAGAGTGGTTAGCACAATCGTAAGAGTGAGAATTGTGGGGAATATGCCGAGAACGTGCTCGAGATACGCGGAACCGCCCTAGATACGTGGAGCTGGATCAATGAGCTGATTTGAGTTATAAATACAGGAAGTTCGAGCATATTTCGCCAACTTTTCACTTACGCAAGAGTTTAAACACTATATTTCAACTTGTAACACATCTCACTCGAGATCTTATTATATATTCGATTCATATCAATATAAATCCAGCTCTGCTTTACTCTTCTTTTGATCGTCAGATTTATAAACATTTCTTAGAACCAAATTTTTTTTTTTGAATTCACATACAAATATTCAGCGCAGAATTCAGCTTCCACATTACCCATATAAATTTATGAGATGTACGATATATTGTGTTAAATTTTGTCACATAAAAACAAAATTATGTAGCTTCAAAAACTATCATAGGGCAAGTTATATGCACGTGATATTATTGATGATGATAAAATGAAATTCCAGCTATGCAGACCACAAGCTCGCCACGCGCTCTAACACATTTCTCAATCTTATACGTACACGTGTCTAACATCTACTGCCTCATCATCAATCCATCACAATCGGTTTCTAGTATTCCTCTCGTCTCCTCCAATTTCCTCGCGAAGAAGAAAAAACTCTCTCACTGTTTCTATCTGTGAACAAGTCAGAAAATGCTTCTCAAAACTGT